CATTTTAAAATGCCGTTATTAATGTCATTAATGTATTAATTTTCAATACCGTAAAAAAATGACCAGCCTGCTGACATGGCTGTCTACTTCAGTTATTCCTGGATTAGCAGCATCATGATCAGATACCGCTCAACCAACCATTTTCCCTCCCAAAACAGAAACRCAAAGAGCAACAAGCAGGAAATCAATATCGGACATTAATATCGGCCCAGTTTTACTAATCGGACCAATACAGAAATGCTAAAATATTACAAACATCAGCTGATACCGATGTTAATGCCGATATACRGTATCGTGCATCCCTACAATAAAGCTTAACACCTTTTCATCTTTCTTAAACTCTGACGTGAACGCTATGGGTAAAATAATAAAGATATGTTTGTCCTCATACAGTCTAACTAGCTGTGCTATAGCAGGGTTCCTACAGTTTAAGGAAAGTTAAATTTAAGACTTATTAAGACTTGTTAATGCCAAGTGAAATTTAAAACCAATTTCATAATAAAGACAAATGACAAAATAATAAAAACGATGGCAGAAACTCATCAATCAAAGTATTTTTGGTTGAAGTATTAAAATATTAATAGACCAATTGTTTTTATCCATATCTAACTATAGCAGAAACATTCTTAGCAGTCAGTTTTAAACTGAATTTAATTTCTGAAAATTCTCTAATGACCCAAAATTTAGAGTTTTARGACTCACAGTGAGGTCTTAACCTAAATTTGCTGTACATGAAACCTTAAAGTGCCTGTGACATCAATTTTTTGTAAGAAAAGTGAATGCATTTATGGAAAGACAACATTACAAAACAAATTTCACATTGTTCAGATGAACGGTTGTTGACATATTTGCATGTGAAATAACACAAAGTGATGTCAAAGAGGAATGTCTGCTTGCGAATATTTAAAAAATAAACGTTAACAATTATTTTACTATTTGAGATTAATTACAATCAGCCTACTTACAATGTGTTAACATCTTTAAGACTTCTGAAAGATTGATTTAAGACATTTTAAGGCTAATTAAGGCCTTATTTTTGGATTGATGAATTCAACGACTTTTAAGACTTTAAAAAGATCTGCAGGAACCCTGTATAGAAAATCCTGACYAACTCCAAGAACGAACCGTTCTCCCAGATGAGATGCTGAACTTTCCATTAGCATCCACACTAAAGTAGGAAGTCAAATGTATAAATGTGAACTTGTTTTAGYCGTGGTACTTCGACACAAAGGCAGTGAGGACAGACAATGAATAACACTTCATTTATTAGTGTTAGATAAAAAAGAAATACTYTGGGTGTAATAAGAGACAAAGGACAGAGGTGAAGCAGGTGCAGAGGTGTAGGAGATAATGGAAGCAGAAGAGGAAAAAAAAACAGCAGTCAGGGATAAACAAATGTCTACGACAGAAGAAAAAAAGGTGAGCAAGCGATGCTGAGAATTGTTTTTCATATATCTGTAGCCAGTAGCAGCATCACACCTTGTGTTTGTGTGTGTGTGTGTGTGTGTGTGTGTGTGTGTGTGTGTGTGTGTGTGTGTGTGTGTGTG